CCCCCCCACACACACACTCCCGCAGGAACAAAGGGGTTGGGCCCAATAGGAAAAAAAAGAGATCTTCCCTCTTCTTTGGTTATAATGACTGTTAAAATGTAATATATGTTACTCATGAGTTATACTCTGTTGCATGTTGGCACCCTTTTCGCAAAAGGGGCGTCTACCTAGATACCCGTCAATTGATTTAAGCTGTAGTAAGGACATTAAACTCCCTTTTCAAATACGAAACGTTTAATGTATTGCATTTTTGTGGAGAATGTCTAATTTGATAGTGCTATTTGGCTCTAAATGACAAATTGTCAGTGAAAAAAAAAATCTAAATTAAATACGTGTTCACAGGTGTGACATATTTGTTGTTTGTCAAACAGTTTTTGGTTGCCTATCAATGAAATAGCCGCGAATGTTGAACTAGAGTGATAGCTAAACTTATACCAGCTTTCTTCACAACAATCGACTACATTTTCTTTCCCTTTGATGTACTTAAGACATCGCAAAGACACATACAATTTATTTTCGAATACGAGTGCTTTTAACTATTCATGAGTCTGCCATATCTAACAGGAGAAAACCATAAGGATACATTATTGCACTTCTATGTCTTCTACCCAGGGAACATTGGAGAGACCTATTTAGATCTGCTGGCTTATTACAACGGTTATTCTGTCTGACATCATATCAGCGATATCACAAGAAGGCATATACACAAATACCTGCTGTGAGACAACTGATGTGGTGGTAACTCCACAGAATTGAGGATTAGCGATTGTTACCTCTCCCTAGGGACACACACGCGACAAAGTTAAATTTGTTGCAACCATTGCAGTGTTTGGGAGGATGTTGGTATTTCACTCTACACTTGTAACAACCTCTTAATTGCCTCGCTTGGCTTTACCGGTTACCGGTTGTACTGGTTACCTTCAGCATCATTTCGTTACACGCAAGCAAACATTACAAACAGAAAGGCATCACGTTCTTAAATTATCTAAGCTGTTATTAAGACGTGTAGCAAAATAATCATAAATATAAACTGTATTTATTTTACAACAATTATGAAACATGTTATATCAACCAAAAAACAAATATGTTTGCCTGGATGTTAGCGCGGGGGTGAGGGGGTGGGGGGTCTTAGTGTGGGAGAAAACCGGAGTACCCGGAGAAAACGAAAACCCACGTGGTCGGACAGGTGACCCAATACCTTTTCACGTCCGATCGGGGAATGGAACCCCGGCCGTCTTGGTGAAAGGCCAGTGCGCTTTTCACTACACCATCCGACCACCCTGTAGCAAAAAAAACCCCACCATACAACCCTTGTAAATTTGTACGCGTCTGCATTTGACTTTGCTTTTATGAAGTAGAAAATATTACATTGATATTAAATTCGGCGTGGAAGGCGTATTTAACCGTGATGTGTTTGTACAGACTAAACCAAAATCGTAAAAAAGTAAACAACAAAAAAAATATCAAGATATTTGGACTTAACCTCACGACAATCACCACTAGTAATATGTAAAGAAATAAAAGATCAACACTAATAATATGTAAAGAAATACAATTTTCACGATATATTTTAATTTGTTCAAGTCGTAAGGTTCAAATTGTTCGGAGAGACATGACCCGATATTTAATTGATTATTTATGGTCGATTATTTTAGTCATTGGTAATAAGTAACTCGTGATAATGTTTTAAAATCATCCAATCAAGCGACAGTAGAAGGTCGTATCAAAACCTCTCATGTAAGTACCGCGGCCTGGTCCAATAACGATGCCAAACGTTTAAGGACAGTACATCTTAAAGTGGTTTATATTATATGTAATTAGTTGAATTGATTAAAACTGGTGACATCAGAAATTGGTACCCACAATTAATGAATTATTTTAAGCGAAATGTATAAATACCGGAACGACACATGGAGGTACGTCCTTAAATGACCTTACCGTTAAAAGGACAAAAAACGGGATAAAATCCAACCTACTGAGCGCTGAAGAATTTGAGTGTAACCTCTTTTTTTCCAAGCTAATTGGATACTAAATTAATCATAATCGATCTCTTTTGATTCAAATATTTCACCAGTTAGGATTTTTCACAAATGTTTAATTTTACGAATTCTTGTCGTCACTATACAGCACGCGGTAATTACATAAATGGAGGTATGTCGTAAGATGTTCTTAGCTGTTGATATGAACTTTAACAAACTAAAACCAAACCAACTATTATGCGTATGCATCATGACATTTAAAATGTTAGTTATAACTGAAATGCTATATTTTTCTGGTATTGTTTTTACATTTTAAACAATAATGAAACACATAAATCTAATTTAAATTTAAATGAACGCATAGAAAATTGTCAATATATTATATTTCAACTGTTTGTGTACTAAGGCCAAAACAATATGTGTATTTCAAGTATCCCGACCTACCCTAGATTTTACTGCCGACTCTAAACACTTAATTGTATCTAAGATTAATCTATTAGCCAGGCAAATTTCACAGCTAGTTATTAAAATGTACTTTCTTCCTGTTCTGGGAGACTGACCTTATTCTTGACAAATTAAGAGCCATAGTATTATAGTATTGGGTGGAAATGCAGACATGTTTCCCGAAACAATCTTTTTGTTTTGACCTAATGGGAAACATAGCCTTCTTTGTAATAAATTATATAAAAAAATTAATTGCATATTTCAATATGTTGATAAAAATACATCAATATAGATATGAAATATATGTGAAAATGAGAACACTCGAAACCTTATTAGACTTCGGCATAATATCAGCGCTAACTGTGTCAAGCACACATACACGCAAGCACGCATACACAACAAACATGACGTCATGTCCTTAAAAGACTTTATCTGTTGATAGGAGGTAAAACCCTGTACAGCAAACCAAACTAGACTTGACAGGTTCTATAATAAATCATCAACGTAAAGGCATTTGACCCTGAATGATTTGCACTGTCGATGGGCCGTAAAATATATTGTGATTACATGCTTAACGGCCTATCAGCACAAGATATGTCATTTAGGCCAACCAATGGTCGATAAAAAACAAAAGTAAAACTAAAATGACATCAACGAAACGTCAACTTAAATATTGAAAGTGGCTATGGTGACTTATATCTTATTGAAAAGACCAACATCCTTTAAGAGGTGGTTTAGAAGTAAACAGAAAATGTGATGTTGCCAAATGTTATATTGGGAACAGCGCTTATATTTTGGTGGTGTCTCCCGAGGTAACACTGTTCAAATGGCCTCAGATGTTGCAAGGACGTCACAACTCAAACGAAGAAGAAAAAAATCCAATCGCAAAACGAACAATAATGATGATTTGTTAAGTTTAACAAACTTGTCTTTTTTTTTCTCTCCAGGAAATGGCATTTCTTTTCGAATGGTCGTTATATACATTTCTTATCTGTGGATTTCTGCGCAATGTTGATGGCGCTGCTTCCATTGAGGGGATTATACGCGAAGCTTTTGATAAAGGAGAACAGGCCAAAAAACATCTTTATGAATTCGTCAAGCCAAACTTCCACCGTGAGTATCAGCACGTATTTATCTCGTAAAAAGTGTTTTGGAAAGATTAGGCTTGATGTTTCCTTCTTTATGTGAAACTGCAGGTAGAGCGTAAGAATTGTACCTGCTGCCCCCAATTGCATGATTGTAAGAGGCGACTAAATTTGGGACCTTATCTCTTCTCTACTTTCTAAATAATTTCTTCTTCCTAATGTCTCCCTTGACAATGCCTCACTTTTGGCCATTTGTTGAGCGTTCGCCCCTGTGAGGAAGGCGTTGGGTTCTGTCCCCTGGCCGAGACATACCAAAGTCTTTAAAACTGGTAGGTTATACTCCTGCTTAACGCTCAGCAAATTAGGAGTGGGACGACTGGTTCGCCCGTTGTCAGTATGTGACCGGGTTAGGCGTCCTGCTGGGTGTCTTCGGCAGTATGTTTCAGTGAGGTAGCACTATAACGTCGGCATCAGTTCCGCGCTATCACAAGGAGACAAACACGAACATATCGCAGCCTCCCAAAATAAACACACATACACTACACGCATGCATCTTGCACACAGGGGAGGCCGTCCTTAAATGCCCATAGCTGTTAATAGGACGTTAAACAAAATCAAACAATCAAGCTCAACGTTGAATAAACTTCTATTTCCTTCATTGATTAAACGTTGAATTGTACAATACCATTCAACCTTCTTTTGGACCATTCTACTGGTAGCATAGCCCGAGTTTCCTTGGGCCTCTACACCAGATTTAGACATTTTGACAGGTATATGTCTGGTAAGGGACGTCTATCTATCGAAACGTCTTAGTCCGGTGTCAGAGCAAGAGGAAATTTGGGCTACTGGTAGCATAAAATAACAAAGAAACAGACAACAGCACACTCTTTTGAGTAACATTGTTTTCTCTAAACAACCTAATCAGCAGCTTGTGGCCCATCTCCATCATGTTCATCCGGGTATACATCAGGTTTTGGGATATCTAACTCTTGGAATGCAGCACCTACATACAAGTGGAAGTTGGACAGCTTCTGCAAAAGCTACATTATATTATTTATTATTATTATATAAATTAATTACAATGATCACTGGTCAAATATTTCCACATCATTTACTCTTATAAAACCGTATTTGAAATAGATAAATAGACAAATATAAATTAATAAGAAAAATATCATCGTAATAAAACGACCTTATTGAAGTACCTCCAATTCCCTTCTATAACGTCTTTCATAAATAAGAACATATAAGACTAAGTCTACCTTCTTTGTGTGCATTTCAACACGTGGTTGCAAACGCAGTTGCTACACAGAGGCGTGTATCTTGCCAACGGGTGCGTGACCTAGTTTATGATAGCAGCGACTTTATACACACATATGCAAAGGAGTTTCACTCTCCGTTTGCCTGGGCAACCAAATAAACATTGTGCTTCAAATATATGTCATATTAAACTGCTTTTAAATGTTGTTCATGTTGTTATTGGAAGTGTGAAACGGCCTTTCAGTATCGAGATTTCCGGGTTTTAAATTCGCATAAGATTTGAAATTACCTCAAACTCTGAATCTCCGGGGATCACATGCACGTACTATATCACAGAGTTGAATAATCAAGACTTCTTATTCACTTAATCTCCATGTGACCGGCAGTTTCTTGGAAATTGAAGAAACGAAGATTAAACATGATGCATGTGTAACGTAAAACGCGATTAGATTAATGTTGCAACCATCAACCCCTTACAGAATTAGGGTTTTCTGACGTGACTGTTAAAAAATACCAAAATTGCTTGTCCTCGTTCTACCGTTATCATATTAATTTAACCCTAGCTGCTGCGGGGATGTTTAACAAAACAAAACACCATATGATTAAAAAGTATACTTTCTTTGTTTAGAGTACGATGTGTCTGGATCAGCACATAACTGTCGTTGGCAAATGGGTTTGCTGATGTTCCCGACACCTACCACTCTTTATATGGAGAAACACGCCGTACTGTACCTAGCTGCCACACGACACATCGCTGAAGCGTAAGTTACGATTATACAACTCTTCCCTCCGTGTTACATGCTTTTCGCTGAAGGGCTGGTATATTCAATGTACTTAATACTTGTACAATTAAAATATAACTTTAAATCTCGTCATTATCTGTAAGATATTATGTGACCGAGGGGAATGCTGTGTTTAAAGGCGATCATCCTCAACGCATAGCGTGCCGGGAACCATATACACTTCAACATTGTTTTAAGCCCATCATCAGCAGACTGATCAATTGTGTTTTCGCTATTGTTCAAAATGTACTTAGGAGATCTTTCTATGATTTCGTATGCAGGTATACTTTTGTTTGTAGTTTTGCAAAAACAGGAAATGCCGCCAGGCATCCATCTAGCATTTTGAGTGTTGAAGTTTGCTATCACTATTTCTCGAGATGTTCTTGACAGTTTATTTATAAATTTCATAACTTGGTTACCCTGGTTCCATAGTTGTGCACGTGTCATCCTGGGCTGATGTTGTAAGCACCAACAGGATAATATTAGCACGTATACGTCAACATTAGCGCTCGATTAATTCGCTTGGAAAAACACTTTTTAAACCTCCTAGATAATTGCAAATCAAAAGCACTGCGTGAGAATTAGAAAAGAAATATATTATTATATGTCTGATGATAGTGTCATAGTGCTTACAATGTATGTTTAGTCAATGTCATAATTTGTTGTACAATTGGTTGTACATTCGTTAATGAATGTACGCAGTTCTCAGTGTTAATCTTCAAGCCTGTTTGCATCTCTATTCTTAACGCCACTTTTCATGTATTTCTGTTGACTTGTGTTAAGTTGTACTCGTACTTGTTAACAGGTTATCGTTATCTCCTGCTGAGCTCCAGTCCAATGCTGTGTTCATAGAAGAATGGCAAAGAGTAAATACGGAACTAAATATTGCAGAGGAAGGCGGTTGTGAAGAAGACAGTCCAGCGGTAAAACGTTTCTGTGAACTACGACGATACGCGCGATTTCGAACAGCTGACGGGCTATGCAACAACATTGACCACCCGACATGGGGGCGTTCTCACACGCCACATGCACGGCTCCTCCCACCGGTATTCGGCGACGCTTTAAGTATGTCAGATTATCCAAAGCATATTATTATTGAATTCAATAAAGAAAGATGTACCGAATTGGAATGTCCTTAAACACCATCAGAACAAGTAACCTGGTTTATAATCACGTGAGAATAATAAACGCATTTCTTTCACCTTGTAGACAGTTTTGGCTGTGGTGTTATCTGTAAAATATAAGTATTTTGCTTCATCAATACTCGACTCTTTTACAGATCTGGGTGACGTACCTCGTATTACCTCAATCAACGGATCGCCACTCCCTGGTGCACGTGAGGTGTCTGTGAAGGCGCTAAGGCACTATGACTTAAACGTAGACCCAAAGTACACACACTTTGTGATGGCTTTTGGGCAGTTCCTGGATCACGACCTCACACTTACGCCGGAGTCTAAAGGTATCAATCCATGCTGTTTCATGGTATTTTCCCACGTTTTAACTTGTGTAGATTACGGATCCCTGTTCCACTGTATTTTGATTTTTCCTTGATACAGTAACCTCCCCTTAACTTCCGTGTGGATATAACTGGTGCACAGTTGGGCCAGGGCCCTTCTGTTGACCAGGCAGCTCAATCGGTTGGAGTAGTAGCATATCAATCTGAAGCTCACAGTTGGAATCTCGTTCTAGCTGCGCTTATTTTACTTTTCTTTTAACACTTGGAACACTGTTGTTGATAACATGTTTCCTCATTTCATTTTTATGATTTCATCGATATCCCGCTATGGTTTCCGATTTTCTTTTAAATAACTGCATGACAGATGTATGAAGAGTGGACCAATTAAAAATGATAAATAATAAGATATATTTAACACTGATGTATGTTTGGTCTTGGTTGTAGTTTGTTTAACACCCTATTAACAGCAAAGTTCATTTAAAGACGTGTCTCCATGTTTGTTGTGTATGCGTTCAAGTGTGTATGATCGGGTTAACACTTTTTCTGACAAAAGTATTCATCATACAGTGTACCTAATGTCGGTAAATGTTCGCTATCTCTTTTAGTTTAAGTCTTCTTTGTACAATGTAAAACAGGAGGTTGTCCGGTAGCCTGAATCTTGGGTGTTGCAATTGTCGGTTTTTTTTCAGTTGAAGAAAAACGCAGGCATAGATTTGTTGTTTATACAGAAAAACATATATTATAATACCGTTTTTGTTGTTACGCAACCTATTGAACAATTTTGGTCACAGAAATAGTGTTACAAAAACAGACTGTTATTTTTCTAGTAATAGTAAAGGTGTCGCAATTTCTTTTTTATATACTTTTAAATTTAAATCATTTACCTTATAGTTGATATTTATTTACCACGGGACTTAATGTAACCTCAACAACATTTCACTCTAGTCTGTTTATATTGACTAAATGAAGACTTTTCTTCACTCTATTGCAAATTAAGTAAGAAAGAGCGAATCTTTATAGGAAATAACACTACAGTTGTTGATGGTGAATGGAACATCCCAATTCATAATAAGATTGAAACAGTAAAATTACAAATACAATTACAAGAAACGTTATCTGGAAATAACCGGCCCATCCAAAGCCTTGATTTTATTGATATTTTGATGGCACAGAGTATAAATAGAAAAGGTTGGGGGGTAAAACTATAGTATATTGCTCCTAAAAAAAGACAGACAAGCTCAAGAACATGATACAGAAACAAAACTGAAGGGCATGTACTACCAACACTGTAGTTAACATAGAGTCGGGGATATTGAGACTTTAGAAAATAAATTAGTTGTATTACAAGCGATGATCACAATTAAGAGTTATTCAAATTAAATAAAAAGAGAGGAGTTCGTCAAGGTGATCCATTTTCGCCTTATATATTTATTATTTCAGTACAGTACATTTTTTGTGCTGAGCTATGTGGTAGAAATATAAGTCAATATGCCGACGATACTGATCATTTATCTTTACACACCGCTTTAACAGATTTGGAGAATGTTGTAGGTTACTAGGTTACTTAGATAAAACACAGGTATCTTGGGGTAAAACGAGGTTACGGTGAAGAAATGTTATCAGAGAAAAGTCTACGCTGGAATGATGAAAGAAAGTTCAAACTTTTAGGTAAAAAATACAACTTTCAGAAGACAGAAGTTACTGACTTTTTAGGAGATAACTATAAGGATAAATTATCAGCTTCCGAAAAAAATCTATTTAGAGTTGTTCATTTAAAATATCAACGACAATTAGTAAGTGGTGTGCAATTAAAAATAGCTCTTTCCTTGTTTATCCAGTATTGCCGTATTAATTAGATTTTTTCTCAATAAGTTAAGATTATTTAGCTTTTTGTGGAAGTTGTAGATAAATATTGTAATAGGGGCTAAATGTTTCAAAGTAGCATGCCGACAGTGTATTTAGACAAACATTTAAATTATCTGACAACATTTCAACATTTGTTTTTGTCACAAGTAAGGCTGGTATCATAAACTTAATCTGTTTTTTGATTATTACTGTTGAACTTGTTTCGGCCTATCAACACATAAAAGGTCAATTCCGTCTTTGCGTATTGCAGAGTTAACTTCTCTTGTGAGCATGTATTGATTGTTTCGTCATTGGTTAAGTGAGAAAATTACGTCGTTTTCTCAACAATTGATGACGTTACTGTCACAAACAAATGACGTAACAATCAATACCTGCTCACAAGAGCAGATAACTCTGCAAAACGAAAAGACGGAATCAACACAGAAAAGACGGAATACGGCCAATAAAAGATAGAACACATAGAAATGACATCAAAGAAACGAAAAGGTCAATGACAAATATTAAATTGAATAATAAAAGTGGCTATAATTTAGATACATATCTTTTGAAAAGACAAATAACCATTATTTAGGTTGGTAAGATTCGATGTTTTGAAAAGAGATATGATTTTTATTGTTATCAAAATATTCGTTTTAAACACTCCTTTTATTTGTATTTATTGATAGGAACTGGCGATACAAATATACACTGCTGTATAGAGAACCCGGATGGTACACTCATGGAAAGGTAATTATCGCAACACCTGGACTCGTATTTGTATTAACCGTTCTCATGGTCAATCATGAACTCTGTGCTCAAGCCAACTTTTTGTTACTCGCTGAAACCGTTTAAACACGGTAAAAAGTCAAATGTAAACATTGAAAACAGTATTCGGCTTAGGTCAGCATCTTCAATATCATTTTCAAATTGTGTTTTTTATAAAGAAAATCACGGGAATAGGAAATTGGGCTTCAACATGGAAACTAAGTAGGATCTAGATATCGGTCTAATGAATACTTACCCTGATGTTATCCATGCTATTTGTGAATTTGTATATACCTCATCTTATTGTTCTGTTCCTGTCTTTTTAAACATATTAACGTCCCTGCATGTAGAGCGTAAGAATTGTACCTGCTACCTCCATTGCATGATCGTAAGAGGCGACTAAATTTGGGATCTTATATTTTCTCTTCTTTCTAAACAACTTTGTTCTTCCTAATGTCTCCCCTGACAATGCCTCACTTTTGGCCTTTAGTTAAGCGTTCGCCCCTGTTAGGAAGGATTTGGGTTCTGTCTCTTGGCCGAGACATACCCGAGTCTGTAAATATGGTAGTTCTACTCCTGCTCAACGCGCAGCAATTTAGGAGTGTGACGGGTAGTTCGCCGTTGCAGTATGTTTCAGTGAGGTAGCACTACAGTATAAAGTCGGCATCAGTTCCGCTCTATCAAAAGGAGACAAACACGAACATATCGCAACCTCCCAAAACACACGCATACACTACACGCATACATCTTTCACCATGGGAGGCCGTCATTAAATGACCATAGCTGTTGATGTTAAACAATACTTAACCAAACCAAACCAAAAAACATATTAAATTTTCCTTCTGACTTTTAGCCCAATTATTAGCAGCCAAACATATTTTCTATTTTATCCGAAATGAATTTTTCAAACTATCATATGCAAAATATTTGTTTTATATTGGCTGCTGTTTAATCATCATTTAGGATATAGATGCATATTGTTGTATCACGAGCTCTAGCGAGCAGTATTGTTGGCTAAACAGATGATGAAACAGTTTGGTTTATTTGGGGTAGCGAACTTAGTTTATTTATAGACATTCCCCCGTGTGTAATATACATCTAGAACTGAAGACAAACACGTCAATGATGAGAAATATTCTTCTGTGGTCTGCAAGAAAAGTCAGTTAAAAAGCAATCTTTTGAAAATGAACCTACTGATATTTTTGTTGCAGACCAGAATGCTTTCCAATACCTGTGCCCCCCGGAGATCCATATTACACGTCAAAATGTATCAATTTTGTGAGGTCAGCTCCGGCCATACAGACTGGATGTGGCATAAGTAAGATTTTTTAAAAATTGTATTTCATTTTATCGCATAACTGACCCATTTTACTATGTCATAATTGCTGAGATGGGTCTGTATTTTTTTGCTGATCATTTTTAAATGGTTTTGATATTGAGGGAATTTGAAATGTTTATTCAGCATTTTTTTAAAAATTTCATTGCATTGAAAACTGTTCATTATTAACAAAAATCTTGAACGGACTACTTTGCATTGCGTAAAAAGACAAGAATATGATTGGTGTACCTTTCTTTTCACCTTAATTAAGTTAGCTGTGTTTTTAACTATTAAAGAAATGAGATAAGTAGAATCTTACATTCGTGTCCTTAAAAGCTCGCGCCAAATCAATTATTGTACGAGTTTAATAAATCCAACATGACATAGACATTATTACAAAAAAGTATATTTCCCTAGTGTCTAATATTTGTGTATGACGTCAGTTTTTATAATTACAATAAATAAATAGCTTCTGGATCTTAAATAAAGTTGGTTATTACATTAAAAGATAATATAAAGAGTGTTCAAATTCAATATAATATTAACACAAGCTCAAACATGAAGGTCGAGTCTTTGGATTTCACATGTGGGTTCTTCGTTGTCCTTCATGTTTCATTTTAAGAATGATTCGGGAAACAAGATAAACATCATGCAGCCATATTGCATTTCGACCGTACGATCTTGTTTTTAATATTTCTCAAAAAGCACTGCATAGATATTTATAATAAAAGGAAGATACATTATGTTGAATTGGGTGTGTCCGTCAGTCTGTTCCTTCAAATTTTGCTTCATGTAAAGTCACTGTATTTAAAATCGTTTGAATTTGATGAATTGTTTTGTGAAAAGTAAACAAATATCAATTCAAAATTTATTATAGCATATTCCGCCTGAATGGCCAACTGTTTCCGCACAATAACTTTGTCCGGAATCTGATGAAACTTTGTTAATATTTATATAACCATATTTGAAGTTGGTAAAATATGTGTAAGTAATAGGTTCACTACATTATAATTCATCCGATTTTATGCAAAATGTGTGAGTCAAACATAATCGGATTCTGAGGCCGAGTTTTATGTGAAGTTCAAACTGCGCATAAATAATTAACATACCTCAATCAGATCATTTCATCTTGATTGATGTGATTCGATCATGGTAAAATATTTACGCTTTAAACATAATTTGTCTGCAATAATCATTGGGCAACAACTTTTGTTTTAATGGTTGAGAATGCAGCACTTATGGGTCAAAGTGTGTTAAAAGTAAAGGCAAAGGGGAGCAACTCCTACATAATTAAATATCTTTAATGTTTTGAAGAAGATATTACACACGTCGTGTAGTAATACATGTTTTCTCCTTTCACAAGAAATAGTTCAACTTTACAGCGCTATAATTTACAAATCAACTTAATGCATTTTAGTATTTCATACAAGGATTTTTATTATGTCGCTTTAGAATACGACGAATGTATATTGTTTTGATCTTTCGATACTCTTTCGTTTATTTGTCTCTACATGTCTCAAAGTGTTAAATATTAATTTACCAGAGCAGAAATAAAAAGCTTCACTATTTCTGCTTTTTGTATAAGCTCTCAAATGACGTCACTGACAACAAATATGCTCTTTGCCGATTGGATAGCGATAATGACGGGCAGCCTACCCGTGTTCTGCTAACATTTCTTTCAAATCACTTTGGTCATCGATTTCAATACAAGGCAAGACATTGAGTCTACATTGCTATGACATAGTGAAGCCGAGTAACAAAAATGTTTTATTTTAACCCTTTTTCGGTAAACATATTCTTTCTTATTTTGTGGAACTATTTTATTTTCCAGGCAACAGGGAGACGTTGAATCAAATAACACATTTCGTTGATGGATCCAATGTGTACGGTTCCAGCGAGTCAGAGACGGCAGCCCTCAGACATAGCACAGGAGGTATAAATAACCGCTGTATGCCTTTGCACGTTTTCAAACGAGGCAATTGATGTGAGCCTTATGCAGAATCTTTTGTTTTCCGTACAAACAAAACCTTTCGTGAAATCTAACAAATGATAAGCCTTCGTGGTATTGAAAGTTTTAAATACTTAGTACCGAGGAGAATGATTCTGTCTTTTATATTTCTATCCGTCTGCAGATTAAATAACGATTGTACAAGTTCATTTTATTGAGCTATCCTTTGTCATAAGTAATAGGACATTAAGTAAAACATGTGATGTCTTATATAAACCTTCAACGATACAGAATAAATGTGATTATTGAACCAAAACAAATAGAATAGTTAAATATTTGGCATCTTTTGCAGGTTTAATGAAAACCGATGGGAACAATATGCCTCCCGCTGCATCAGATGATGAGTGTGTGTTGCCGGCTAATCCTTTGCTACATTGTCTTAAAACAGGTACGTTATAAATAATTCGACAGTAGCCTTGCAAAATTTTTGCTTAACAATGCTCCTCTTTTGCACAAAGACTAAAGTTTGTTTGGTTTTCTATAGTTTAAAGTCCTGTTTAAAGCTAAGGTCATTTCAGGACATGTCTCCATGTACTTTGTGTATGTTTGTATTTGTGCCAGAGGCAGGGTATAATTGTGTGTTTGCCTCCTTGTGATAGCCCAGATATGATGCCTACCTTAGTGCTAGTGTTATCTAACTGCAATACCATGCCAAAGGCACCCAGCACAGCATTGCGCCCGGTCACATTATGCTAGCAACGTGTGAATCTGTTGTTGCCATTTTCCTAAGGAAGCAATACTTGTACCATCTATCATTGTGTGACCTTGCCTGTATGGACGTGCTTCTATTTGTGAGATTCTGTTAGCAAGGTCATATGAAAACGAGTGCTTACGCACACACCAAAGGAAAGAAATAGTAGATAAGAAGGAAAGAGTATGTAAAAAAGGTAGGAAAGAAAAACACTTTGGATGTTTTTTATTTTATCTTGAGGACAGCCGACTGATTTTGGTCTATACAGTGTCCACAACAAATAGGAGACATGTAGGGCACCGACTCTGCAGAAAGACATTCCCATGTCTACAAAACAGGCCTGTCCTTCGTTTGGTACTATTTTGTTAAACGTTCTGTTTCTTAAGTCATTTAAGGATGTGTCCATGCGTGTAATGTATGTGTGAATATGTAATGGAGGCGGTATATTGTCTATGCTTGATCTTCTCGAATGTACCCTTACTAGAAAACGCAAAATATTAGTTGTGCATGGTTATACGTCCTGCCAACAGCTTAAGTCATCTAAGGACGACGTGCCTCAAAATGTGATGTGTATGCGTGCGTGTGTGCTAAAGTAAGGGTATGAAGGTGTACTTGCCTCCTTGCGATAGTGCGGATCTGATGTCAACTTTATAGAGCAACCTCACGGAAATACCATGCTGAAGTCATGCATAACATTATTCCGCCCAGACGTATTTTACTAACCGCAGGTGAACCAGTTCATACTTTTGCCCTAAATACTGATTTTTTAAATAGGAAATAAGAACTACCATTGAATTTGTTTTTTTAAGGTTTTTTGGTCCTGGACTGAGGAACCCCTTGTCTGCTTCACCTGGGCTAACTTCAAGCATTAAAACAAAAAGTGGGATGTTGCCAGGTTTGGCGGTATATTGTCTATGCTTGATCTTCTCGAATGCACCCTTAATAGAAAACGCAAAATATTGGTTGTGCATGGTTATACGTCCTGCCAACAGCTAAAGTCATCTAAGGACGACGTGCCTCAAAATGTGATGTATGTGCGTGCGTGAGTGCTTAAGTAAGGGTATGAAGGTGTACTTGCCTCCTTGCGATAGTGCGGATCTGATGTCAACTTTATAGAGCTACCTCACTGAAATACCATGCTGAAGTCATGCATCACATTATTCCGCCAGGACATATTTTACTAACCGCAGGTGAACCAGTTCATACTTTTGCCCTAAATACTGATTTTTTAAATAGGAAATAAGAACTACCATTGAATTTGTTTTTAAGGACTTTGGTAGGTCCTGGCCTGAGGAACCCCTTGTCTGCTTCACCTGGGCTAAAGTTAGGCATTAAAACAAAAAGTAGGGTGTTGCCAGGTTTGGCGGTATATTGTCTATGCTTGATCTTCTCGAATGTACCCTTAACAGAAAACAGTTTCAAATGCATTTCAGATTTGGTATGTAGGTTCATTATGGCACGACATCTGTTTTCTAATTTAATAAAATGGCCGCCTTATATGATTAGTCGAAACTCAGTTATTGTTCGACTTCGTTCAAATTTGTTACGTATGTGTATTTTGGCATTGCGAACTCAACTACGATATCCGTTTACTTATCTGACAAAATTGCCGCTATATGCTGACCTCTTATTGGTCGAACCTCAGTTATGGTTCAGCTTCGTTTAAATTTAGTATGTAGGTGTATTTTGGCAGTTTTCTGTTTCGACATTCTTACCGCGGTATACTGGCATATGATTGGTCGAAATTCAGACATTGTTCGATTTCAATCAAATCAAGTATGGAGGTGTATTTTTGCGGTGCAAACACAACTGTGGCATCCGTTTTCTGTTTGACAAAATGGCTGTCATATACTGGCTTCTGATTGGTCGAATCCTGGATATTAACTGTTTAATGTCCCTCAAATTTTGTATGTAGGGGATTTTGGCGCTGCAAACTCAACTGTGGCTTTCGTTTTCTGATTCGACAACATGGCTGCCATTTACTGGCTTCTGATTGGTCGAAATTAAGATATTGTTCGATTTCAGTCAATATTGGTATGCAGCTATATTGTACCAACCATGACTTGTGTAAGTATTGATAAGAAGTATCTGTGGTTATTTACATTCTTTTAGAAATATGGCGGATTTTCTTTTGCAGGGGTGTTTGGGGGACATCTGTAATGGCCCCCATTACAATTACAACTTGCTGTGTTTTTTTGTGTTTCTTAGTAGAGAGCACAAACGCAAACGTAATAATGATTGATGCCTTCTGCATGGTATTTCAGTGAGGCATGGATGCAACATTGCCTCCAGTACGCGTACATTACGTAACACGACCTCAAGTGACCCAAACTGTTAAAGGAACGTGGAATCCTTGTATATATAAACCTAAGCAAACGACTGAAACCAAACCCGATTCAGTTGGAGCATTCTGACTCACCTCTAAATATCGTGCATTGGAATACAGCTGACGTACTTTTGCCTGGAAGCTGTATCGTTTTCCAGGGGATAAAACCCCCCAAATAAAACTGGAATATACTTTTTATTATTGCAGGAGATGTGCGATCCAACGAAATACTAAATCTTGGTCTGTTACATACCGTTTTCCTGCGCGAACACAATCGGATCGCCAAGAACCTTCAAAAGAAATGTCGTCGCTTTCGGAAAAATAGCAACAGACTATTTGAAGAAACAAGAAGGATTCTTATTGGAATCTTACAGGATATCACGTTCTACGAGTTTCTACCTGAAGTTCTCGGCTCACCGGAGATGAGAAAGCATCGGTTGGAATCCAACCAATATCGGTAAGTATGATGGCCTAGTATTTGATACCACCTGGGTATAATAGAACTTCTGTCACTTGGCATTGACTTGAAGACTTCCATCGCTAATTCATCCGTAAAAATAAATTCGATTTTCTAAACGCTTGCTAAATTAAGTTCTGTTGTTGTTTTCATTGTTTATGAATTTAATGAGGAAACACTACATAATCGTTAAAAGATTTGTATCTGTAGCTTGTTTTGCACTAGTCTATGAAATCAATATCTATTCCTAAAATGCTGTTTCTTAAGGAGAGGCTGATGTTTGAATCCCCTACATGATCTGATATCTGTTTGTCGGCGATTAAACTCTAAACTAAGATGTTGCACACATATTATGGATATGGATATAGTGTGACTGGTGTTTCCATTTTGTTTTCTGATTGTTGGTTGAGTCGGGTGTGGTAAAATGTTCCGACTTATTTTTTCTGAGTGGACCTGTGGATACCCTCATATCATACTTTTTCTAATTGTGTTTTATTCACCAGGATTATTATTTTATTTCCAGCGGCTACAATCCAAACGTTAACCCATCTATACTGAACGAGTTTTCCACTGCAGCCTACCGGTTTGGCCATTCCATGATCCTGGACAAGTTTAAGTTTCTTAACGAGGACTATTCAACCGATTTTGAGAAGCCCGTTTCCGAGACATTCTTTCAACCGATTGAAATCCAGGACCACGACCAAGCGACCAAGCTTACCAGATTTTTGGCAACGGGCATTGCTAACAACGTTGACAGGTATCGGAGTTTTCATGACAGATATTCGTGTCTGATACACAATAACGTTAGTAATAAGTAAAGAAGTCGTATATATATATGCAAATAATGTGGGCGATCATGCAGAATCGGGGATTGTCTTCGGTGTCTGCTACTAAAAGGATATGAAAGAGACCAAAAATCATCTGTTACAACCGTAGATGTTACAAGATCGCTAAACCGTTAACACACGTGTATTTCCAATGACAATCCACGCTTTTGGTGCTGCATAATCACTCCCAGAAATAACATTTTAATATTTTTTGTTAAACGCGTACAAAATACAAAGACGTTGACTAGGATCCAAGATGAGCAAAATCTATGAATTATGAATTACCATACTGCGGTTAGTTGTTCAGCGTTTAACGTCCCATCAACAGCTAACGTCATTTCAATTCCCTACAACTTTTATGTTTTCGATTCTCTGATCGTACGTGTAAAGATATTGCCCAACCATGTGTTCTTCTCCGGGGACCCGGGTTTCCAGCCACATCAATATCCTCTGCGCATTTCGATCCGGGCTAACAAGAATGACTTATCGTCATTATACGTCATTAAATTTATTTTATGATATTTGTAAAATATATAAACTTAATAATATATTTTTTCTTTTTTTCTTTTTTGAGATGTCTCCCTTGGCCAATGTCTTCATATGACTTTAGCTTTTAAGATGGCATCAACCCACAAGCAAAACAAAAGTAAAACCTATGCTTGTGTCTTTCAAGTGTACTCAGTTGACAATAATGCAACATATGTATAACTGAACATATTTTATTACAGAGAATTTGCACCAGCCATACAAGACACACTCTTTCAGGACGACGAGAATGAAGGTTTCGACCTTCCTGCTGCCAATATTCAGCGGGGACGAGACCATGGCTTACCTTCCTACATGGCTGTCAGAGAGGCGTGTGGATTGACAACAGTTTCTACTTTTGACACACTACCTGATCACGTGTCGAAAGATCGAACATTGCTTGCAAACACATATAAGTAAGTTTTAATTTGCACACAACAAACCCTAACTGCCACTGTAAGTCAACAAGAGCCGCTGCTGGTTCTTGAGAATGAACAAAGTGTATCTACTGCATGTATTTCTTCTGTGTATTTTGCTTAGGGGCACTCAACATTGAACTGCTGCCCCTTCAGATCACGAAGATCCCATACCTTTTCTAATTCGATTATTTTTTTTCTTTCCTTATTTATGATTTCCGCTAGGTCCTGGTACAAATGGAATTAAAGATAATATTGTTTATGAACGATATTATTCGATTTTACCAAACATTGTGTTATAATAAGGTTTATCGGATGTTTGTTAAACTTAGATAAACTTCTCTAGTCTTTCTATGGATACTAACCAAATAACTATCCCCGATAATGAAGATCGATTTCAGATGTGTAATTTGCATTGATAAAAAAAGGGGAATTTGATCGGTTGATAACGTAAACTTTCAACTGTAATGATGCCAGTATAACTAATATAATCCCCCTACCTTGAGTATGTGACAGAGAAATTTCTTACCAGATCAATTCTTTTTTGTTTGATTTTTAACCCCGAGGGTTGGAACTTTGCTACACCCTCAATGTTTTGGATGCTTGTTTTTACACCCATCCTAATATTCCACTCACAACAACACCGAAATTAGTCTGTTGTGGTCGATTTCCTATTTCGTTTTCCCGTGAAATGCTAATTGTGACGTCATAACTCATTGTTCTCCTGACATTGTTTCTTTCCGTTGGTCATCTCTCATACCCTAGATAATGACAGAGAGATTTTAGCGAAAAGGAAGACAATTCAGTCGAAGGTGGGAGGAAGACACATTCATTGATAGCAATACTAACCGAGACATTGCTTTTAGAAATATCAAAACTCTGCCTCCCTTGAAAAAGGAATTCTTGGTTAGTAAGCTCTCAAATTATTTTAGTTCATCTGATCCAAAGGTCCATACGTCCGCCATCAAACTCTAAACTACATGTCTTTTAATAACCAATATGCCTAGGGTGATGGCATATGGCCAGTAGCAAACTGGGATTAAGGACAAACACGTTTGTTCAACTGAATGACCTTGCACGCTTTTAATAACACTGGGTCAAATATGTTAAAACATTTAATAAACTTCTTCTGATTAAGCAAAAGGCCTAGGATGATGATATCAGGCCAGTGATTTTCTGAGATGAAGAGCTACCAATTTTATTAAAGTGATAGACCTTGACATAACAAAAAGGTCAAAGGTATGCAATGACATGCTAGGTTGTTAAAAAGTATAACTCGACCAACTTTCAAGGTCACAGGGATCAAATGTTTAAAAGGCAATCCAAAAGGCCAATAATGGTGATAGTTTGCCTGTTACTTAATCTATCTCGTTTTTGAAAATAAATACGTCAACATTTTCCTTTGAATGTGTCATTCTTTTCCCACTCGTTAAGAACATTTTGGCATTGTTTTCCATTTGTCTCCCTCGCTATAATCTCTCGTACTTTCCCGTAATGCTTGTATTTTACCTCTTCGTGTAGCAACGTTGAAGATGTGGACTTGTTTGCTGGTGGCATCACGGAGACGCATGTAGAGGACGGACTGGTTGGCCCAACCTTCGCCTGCATTATCGGAAAACAGTTCAGCAGGCTCAAGGTCGGCGATAGCCACTACTTTGAACGACGCCGGGGCTTTAGATCGTACAAGGAATTCACGACCTGTAAGCGCAATAATAATTCTTCATTTTGAATTAGGCGTTAAAATAGGCGTGTATTCCACTTTATGTCGAAAGAGCCGAACAAGTCGGGACCACGTGCAGAATCAAAGTTTCTTCCATGTATTATTTGTTGGGCACATAGAAAAAAAAAGAATTTGCTGCACCGATTGAAACACTTTGGGTGAATTTGTTCTCACCTCTCTTATCCATTTCTTTCGGCTGTGACTCATAGGTTCCTGTCGTCGTATGGGAATGGCTGTGTTAAAGATGTTAAACAACGTACACAATATACAAACTATCATAGTTTGTGTGTTATGGTTATCGTGTTCATTCTAATTTTTAACTTAATCACGTTTTTAGTTCAATATTTACATTTTAGATGTTACGCATTTCGGACAATCGCTAACTTATGTTATTTCTTTAGATATCGAGATGGAAGTTGATAATTTGAGCTCAAAAATGATTTTGTCGCTTCGATAAGTCAATGATTCATATTCATAATGAAAAATGTCTGACGTATATCCTTTTCTCTTAACAGCACAAATAAAGGCAATTAGAAGACATACCCTAGCCAAGGTTTTGTGTGAGAATACCGGTCTGAAGATCATCCAGCGGAAGGTTTTTGGCACACCAGACTGCGTGTAAGCGTAGATATTTATTCGTATTTAACTCGTCTATAAGACATTTCTTTGTTGTGTTTTAACCCATTGAGACATGTACTGAAAGAAGGTAGTTCGCTGCCTGTCTGCTTAAATCTTTAAAGCGGTATATGCACATCCCTTTTCGGATATACAATGCTAGCCAAATCATTAATAATGATTAAAATGCTCTATGATTAAATTTAAATATTCATGGTTTTGTCACAAAAATAGTTATTGCTTACACTTTCACATGTCTTGCATATAAAGTATAAGTAAAGTGAAAGCGAGCTGGAATAACAAGTATCAAAACGGACTATTTGTTGATGTCATAGAAACACGTATAAATGTTGATGATTTATTTTGTTTATTAAAGATGATTGTGTAATATTTTGATGACTCCTACTATGGCCTACAATTAATTGGTGGAAACGCTTGAACATTTTTACCTTCATAGGAACTGAGCTTTTGCGAGAACGTTAAACCCCATACAGTGTTTTATTTCACAAAAACTTCAGAGTTAGATTCTCACAAATAGGTTTTATTATATTTTCAGATCGAACCCAACTCTTGACTGCAGCATGATTCCAGATATAGACTTCAGAAAATTCTGTTGATGTGATTGCTTCAGTGAATTGATGTTCATCCTTGGAAACCAAGAACTTAGTAATCACTTAGCAATATCAAAGACTGTTTTTATGATGATTTGACCAAGATTTCCTACTATCCCTCTTCTCCATTTCAAATATATCCTCCAATAGCTACATCAACATTTTATTTTTGTAACACAAAATATACATTTGAGGTGGATGTCCAATATACATTGTAACAAAATAAAAATTCACAAACATTTTGCAATTTTTTTTCAAAGCCCTATTACATAACCGTGAATTTAATCATAAATCTATAAGTCAACTGTAATGCATAATTTTAATTATATAAAGAAGAATTAAGAATGAAGAAGAGTTAAGGATGTACTCTTCTGAGGTTTCAATCACGTTCAAGTCTCGTTATGATCTGGTATAACGGGTTTTTGTAATATTTAACAAATTATGAATAAGTTTATTAGCAAACACGCATCTGAAAAAAATGTCAAAAAACTAGACGCCTGTTGTGTGTAGAACTTTTATTACAAGAATTTAAAAAAAATACCAATTCGGCGGCCATTTTGAAAATGTGTATTAATGTGTATTTCTTGCGCTTCAAAAAAGGTAAAAATTTCAACTTTTTTGACACTAGATTGATCACTTAAATTGTCATTGTGTCGCCATTTCTAATTGTAGCAGGTTCAATTTTGCTGTACAACTTTATAATGTTTAATATGATAAAAAAATATGTAACAAACTGGAAAATTATATTATATATTATTGATATCTTTTTTTACATATTTAGTGTAACTGAAGCACTTTTGATTTTTGACCCCGAAAAGAGTACAAAATAACACAAATGATAATGGGACAAAACAAGAAGCACACTGACCCCCCATTTTTGTGATTGTTTTAGAAAGAGAAACACATTTTCTTTTAATTGCTTAAATATCAAAAAAAAAATAAAAAAAATAGCAGAACTTTTTTTATCAAGCATTTAATCTGCAAAAAATGGTAAAAAATGAATATTTTTTCATTAAAAATAGGGGGTAGGGCTAACTAAAATCGACTTTCTGAGTTTAAAGAATAAGATTAAGAACTTGTACTTCCATAATTTAAAAGAAAGTAATATTTTCATCAATTCTACAAACATTCATACATATAACACATAATACTGATAACACACTTGGAAGAATTTGTATGAATTTGTTCTGCAAATGGTCAAAACCCAAAAAATCACCGAAAATCACATGCTGTGTTAAGTTGGTATCTTTGACCGCTCATAGCACAAAAACGAACACACCGACATATGTTTTTTTGCAATTTCTACTATGCCATTAACTCATTTTTCAAATATCTATACAAGAAAAAAAGTTTAATACAGGAATTTTTTGACTTCTCAGAGGTGTACATCCTTAATGATGATCGTTTAAGAAAAAATAATAATAAAACAATAGTTTCGTAAGTTTCTGGTTATTTCTCAGAATATTCGGAAATATTTCCACAACTGGCCCCGATTAACAGGATATGGTGGTATTGAAAGAACAAAACAAGAACAACATGTATCTTTAGAATGGACCGTTTAACATAATTTGTGGGATTAATTTTAACGGATCCCAAATGCGCAGGTCACAATATAATCGACGTCATGATTTTTTAAACACATGCACATGCACAGTTTTAGGTTTGCCAATCAACGTGATAGGTAAACAATCTATTTATAAATGTATGTTTAGCAGCATGATCTGAACGTCCATCATCAAAATTGCATAACGATAAGTGCCGGAAATTTGTATGAATATTATTTAATCAAGAAAAAAAGACAACAGTCATAGGCGTGTTTCATGAAATTATTTTAAATAACAATATATATATCTGAAATACAATGTCAGCAAATCAAATCTTAACATTAAGCATTCCCATACCACTTCCAGACCCTGTAACTATGCATTAGAAAATAAAATTTCTGGTATGATGTTGCTGGGCTTATATGTATAAATAATAAAGATACAAATAAACAAAACATTATTTACAACAGTGTTTTCTGTGTGAAAATTTAAAGCAGTTTTAATGAAAATTAGTACCTTGGATCACTATTACATTGTCCCTGTAACAAACTGCGTTACCTGATCAATGGTCAAGTCCAAAATAAAATTAACTCATTCACCCGATACGTTTGAACTCTTCAAATTCAAAGCTTGGATTAGTTAATTATGAAATTTCCGGGTTGACTGAGTTAAGGGTTGATTAATGTGTTTGTAAAACAAATCACATAGTGTTTTGCATGTAGTAGGACAGGGAACCTTAAAACATCTTACTCATGTGAATATTTAATACCTATATCGCAGTACAAAAGTCCAATAAGTCAGTTTTGTTTTCGATTCTTAAATTGAGTGTAACCAATATGTGTAGTACTAGTCACACACATACATTCTTTTATTGACTGATATCAATCAATTTACATTGACAGTGATATTATTTAATCAATATTCTTTTTTTCTGGGTTTTCTGCCCTGATTTTTATATCAAGGATTTCGTTCACGGCAGCAATATTAAAATATAACACTTTGGCCACCAAACATAATATCAATGTACTCCAAACTTGGAATCGAAAATGACATTAAATATATAGACTACTTTAATTCAGTAAAAATTAGCTTTTCTCAAACACGGCAAAATTGACGTCAAAATATTAAGAAGTTTTATTTATTTTTAAGGATAATCAAACCGTTAACGAGTAACAAAGTGACAGTTCTAATTAGCACAAGTACAAGTCTGTTGTCGATTTTATAAACATAATTTATTATTATCTTTTTCATCAATTTATGTTAATGTTAACAGCCTGAACAGAAGCGTGTAAGGGGTAAATGGGGGGAACCCCAGAGACAGCAGCGGAAACCGCTGTGTTCAGGCTGATGATCCTTTTTCACGTCCAGTCATCGGGTAATCAAATCCCGGCACTCTTACATAATTGTATGCTCTACTTCATCTGTCTTTTGTAGATGTGTATGATAAAATAATCGGAAACATTACAGTGTAATTTATGCTATTTCTTTGTTTGATATATTTGTTTTTATTTTATATTAATATAAATATATATTATATAAAAATAATAAAATAACTTTGTGCTATTTGTTAACATTTTAATCTGACGAGGAATGGAGCAAGGATAACTGAATCCTAAATTGTTTTTTAAATATTCCCAAACATTCTTCAGTTTGTGATTTGATCAATTTTAAGTTCGTTTCCATATTAATAAAAAAACATCTGAACCATATTTCGGAAATATGTTGTAAGTTGCAGCTGATGTTTTTTTATAAAGGCAAGCTCTTCCGGTTTTTTTTATCTTCAGGTATTTCATATCATTATTTACATTTATAGATGTGTGCTATGTTTATCTTCCATCAATATGTATATAAAAATGGGAGTATGCCACTAAATGTGAAATCCTGAATTTGATGCTGTGGTTGTTTCGTTTTAAATTCAAAAGCTTACAATTTGTTATAGATTTAAAATTTCTTCAACAACAAATTATCACATTCATTTAATACTTAGAGCCTTGAGCTACATAAGCATGACCTTGCCAAAATGCATCTTCACGCTTGAACGGCTTAACATTATGTGCTCCCAACCCCTCAAGTGTAATAATGAAATTATTGTCGAATAAATGATGAAAATTTAACAGGATTGTTTACTCTAGCACAATGTGATTTAAGCATAGACACATTTTGAATAGTACACCATGTAACAATGGGTCATTTAAATTGAACAGGTGAAATCTCATTTAAATATTGGGGTAGTGCAGTGTGTGATATTGAATATAATTGTGTAATAATGGCCTCCTTACCTCACATTTTTATCGTTCTCCAAATTCCATTGACAGAGTCCATGTCCAGTCGCAGTTATGGTCGAATTAATGTTGAAATATGAACAGGTTTACCATAGCAAAATGTGATTTTAGTCTGGAAACAAAAGCTAGTATTTGTACAGGTGAATCACAGGTAAAATATGGGGGTTAGTTCAGTACGTGAATTTGAAAACAAGTATGTAATAATTGTTTCTCATTACCATACTTTCTTATCGTTCTCCCAAATCAATTAATTGACTCGAGGAACAAGCCGCAATAACGCCTGTCGCACCAGTTACACCCCTTGTTTATATGACGATTTCAGCCTTAAGCCACTACAGTATACACAAGACTTCATGAAGATATATATTAATGTGTGTTTTCAATAAATCTGAAGAGAAACATGGTTATTTGTGTTGTTTTTACGAATAAGAGGCCCAAAACAAAGACCTTGACATTCAAGCATTTTCATCATAACATTTGCTACGGCTCATCAACACGGAAGAGGCCAGAGGGATATATAATGGTAAAAAACAGGTTGAAAGAAATGACATCAAACAAACGAAAAGGCAAAAGACAATTATTATCATTATCAGGACATGCTTAACGGCCCATCAAGACAGGATAGGTAGTTAGGGCCAAGAAATGGTCGACAGAAACAGATGCAAAATAAAAACAACAAACAAACTTAAAGGTTAAAAGACAAACGTCAATTTGAATATTGAAAGTGGCTATGATGACTCATATTTTATTACGAAGACCTTTCCGACATCCTAAAATATTAGAAACAGTCATTTTTTCGAAAAGAGATTTACGACTTAACATTATTATATAAATTTTCTCGAGTTGACAAGGACAACCTCGTCTCGGAGCCTTTCTCTGTAGCTAGGATGCTATTCACCGATTTAATGTTTAATAGAACATTATTTGTTTGAATATTTAAAAATGATTATGGTTACGAACAGCAACGACTATTTAGAGACTAGCAAGATATTGGTAGTGGATGAATACAAGAGTACCCAGAGGAATACCATCAACCTACGGCCAGTACTTGGGTGAAATGTTTTACTCTATTTATTTTTGAATGACCAAATCCTCTATGGACACCATCTTTACATAGTGTTAACTGTTACGAGAGCGCAAAACTAAAAATAAAACGAATACAAATTTCGTTTAAAGAAATATTGAAAAATAAACTAAAATGAGTAAAATCTATTAAAATACAGTATAACTGGTATTTACAGTCGCATTAGCAAGTAAATAAAAATTTAAAAAATCTGCGTTCATTTTGTTTAACAGTGATTAAACCACAAAAACAGTGTGAAATTTGGTATGACCCAGCCTAGGTACAGTACCTATTACTTTCCTTACTTGGGCAAACAATTTAGGGAAATGGCAACAACTGGTTAACCTGTTGTCAGTATAATGTGACCGGGCGGAATGCTGTGCTGGGTACCTTCGGCATGGTATTTCGTCTCGATATAGCACTATAAAGCCGGCATCAGATCCGCGCTATCACAAGGAGGCAAGTACACTAACATAACCTGTCTCCGGCACACAAACACACATGCACGCTAACACAACACACATGAAGACACGTCCTTAAATGACCTCAGCTGTTAATAGGACGTTAAAAAATAAAACCAAACGATCAACACTTAGGCTATCAACACTAAAGATATATTGTCAAGGAAAGCGATAGTAAATAAAACTTGTGTTGGAGAGAAGGGAGAAAATACAAAGATCCCCAATTTCGCAAATTGGAGCAACAGATAGATTTTGGTTTCTGTAACATCCTCTTAGCAGAACACACAAAAATACATCCAATATGTAGGCATCCCCACATCTAATACGGAGGGGACGTTCCTTTTCCAACCCACCATGCAGATCGAGACTTTGTAAAATGCTCGATAATTCTGTATATTAGACTCCTGATTTAGCCATGTATACAATAACGAAAAGATGGTCCAGGTGTACCTTATGAGACTGGATTGTGAAACATAAAACCTCAGGATGTTTCTACGTATGCTTTTTTCTCTGTAGTTTGTTCAGTCAGTTTTATGTATAAAATAAAATAAATTATATTAAAAATGTTTCACATTATCGCAGTCACAGGGAACCCATAGCTTCGAGTTGTTATGGTAACCGTATCACATTGTCTGTGTAATCGCTGGACAGATGACAGACTCATAATCGGAAGTGTGGCTGTTATCACCAAGTATCCACCACGACCTGTGTGATAGGCTACCGGTGAACCTACGAGTTATCTCCCTTGGTCCACAGTAACGACACGTTTGTTTGATAAGCGGATAGAGCTATATCTTGGTTCCTTACGGGAGTGGTAAACTAGAAACTCAAAATAATGATAGAATAAATAATATATGTCTCAAAATAATTAAAATTTTATTGAAATACAAGTATTTTTTGTAAATTACTTACTGAAATTAGATGAAATATGACTATCTAATTATCTTACAGAACGCGAATCTATGTCGTCAATGCATTCCCTTTCTTTTTGCAATTAAATGAAAAATAATTATTTCCCAAAGTCGGGCCTCAGTTATGTAAATTCTATGACAATTATGTTACGCCCGAGGATGTGAGATTTTCGTACACACTTCTTTGAAGAAACTCGTAGGGGTATATTTTCTGTAATATTTTACACAGACCAGAAGGACAATATAATAACCGTTGAGTTCCGTATATAGAGATAGTGTTACGAAGGAAACCAAAATGAAGAAATGGCTGTGGTTGTTGATTTCATTAATGATTTCACCTTTACAAGGTAAGAAACAATTGAAGCAGAACAATATAACGATGTAGAATATTATACATTTTGATATCAACAACAGGTATATGATAATGACCTGCATGTCACATAAAACCAACGACAAATACATACAAATGCACATTATAATAAAATATATTTTCTTGTGGCCTTTGTGGTATTTTGTAAACCCACATTTCCGTAATGGGGAAACTTTTCGGATATAATTATCGAACGCTGGTTGACCAACACAATCTGGGTTCGTTGTGATAAGTAAGATGTTACGTTTTCTTCATAACGATACTGAACAGTTTTATTAATTTCGCGGGGTTAATATTTCGCGGTTGTCCAGACTAGAGCTAGCTAAATGTAGTGTAACATTGGTTAATAGAAATATCTCGCTCACGAGGGAACTTTTGTAATTGGATGATGACAATTTCTTACAACCGTTTATTAAAAATGAAGTAAAATAAGTTATTATGTTATTGTTGTATCGTCAATATTCGGCTGTAAAATGGTAAACATGTATTTATATTCACGTGGTATTTAATTTCATGCTATCTTTGATGACAGCGAATATAGCAAAATTCAATTCCAAGCGGAAGTTACCAACCCTGCAGTACCTCAACAAATCAATCCCCTAAAAAGGATAATTCGGCTAGGCTTTAGGATGTAATTTTGACCAGGCGAAGTACATATGTAATGAGTTAAGTTTGTCTTGAGAAATTTAAATGAAAATGGGAAGTATTTCCGATTGAATTCGTCCCCAGACAAACTCATTCCATCTACCCATGACTTGAAAGTAACAAAATGAAATTAGTTGAACATTAAATGTTCTTTAAAAACACTAAAATTTAGTCGGTAACCGCAGGAACTTTCTTTTTTTAACCTCCAACCAAGAGGAGTGAAAAGCATCTCGCAACGCCAACGTAATTTTGGGATCCTGGTGGTATTTCGAAAGTCTCAATATTTCATATTAAAGGCGTGGTAACAATTTGGCCAATTTTGAAATTTTGTTTGAATATTTTTTGCATGGCTACACACATCAGAGCAAAAGCACTGTAAGATTTGTTTCGACGATTTTGACATTTATAGGTAAAATGGAGCTGTTTGACAAACACCACTTGAAATGAAAATCTATCTCTAATTCATCCCGTTCATTTAATATAAAAAAATCAATGTTTTTATGGCATGAAGAACATTATGGTACCACGTTCCCCTATATACTGTTCTTTATATATAAAGTATTTCCATACTCGACTATTTTTATTATCTATTTTTTTACCATAAAATAGTATGCACACAAAAATGAGCAAGTGTTGGTTTTCGCTTTATACAGATTAACGTCCTACCAACAGCCAAGGTCATTTAAAAACGTCCCTCCTTGTGTGTAATGTATGCGAGCATGCGTGTGATTGCCGGAAGAATGATTTGTTAGTGTATGTGCCTTTTACGATAGCATGGATCTGAAGCCGACTTTGTAGTGCTATCCCACTGAAATACAATGCCAAAGTAAGATGTCTTTTCTTATATTAATTAAGCTTCCGACAACGATGAAAATCAACGACAGGAGCGAGTAAGGTCAAAGTTCAAGCGATTTGGACCAAGCGGGATGTCGTTCGGAGGTGGAAGTCCAGGAGGAAGCGGAGGTTTTGGAATGGGAAGTCCAGGAGAAAACGGTGGATTCGGAATGGGAAGTCCAGGAGGGGGTGGAGGTTTCGGAAATGGAGGATTCGGTAGGGGAGGCCAAGGCGGTGGAGGCGGAAGTCCATTTCATGTTGGTGGAGGTATGGGTGGTATGCCATCCAAAGGGGGCCCAATGAATGGCGGAGCTTTCGGGGGAGGTCCTACGGGCATGGGTTCAGCTCACGGAGGACCGTCATTAGGACCTATGCAGGGACCAAATGCCCCGGGGAACCCGGCAATTGGAGGACTCGCGTCTCCAGGACATGGGATGTTCAATCCCATGGGGTTGCAGTGTATACGTCATCGAATGATGTGTCCCTCTTGGTGCCGAGTTGTGGATGGTAATGGATGTCACTCATGTCCTTGTGGGCCAGGTAACAAACAGCTGTGGATATCTGTTTAATCTTTATTGCAAACTCGGTCAGGAAGAATATAAGATAAGCAACATAAGTTGGTAAATTTCACACAATATATCATTTTGGGGGAATATTTAAAGGATATGTCAACGGAACAACACGTAACAATATCATTGTTTACTAAAGCTTCTTTGTTTAATTGACTAAAAGAATATATATGAGAATATATCTGTAAACCTAACATTTGATAAATTGAATACGAGAATTCTCCTCTCACAGGACCGAAATAAAACATAAAAATATATAAAAACTTGTTTTTTTCACTACACAAGGAATGCAATCGTAGGAAACAGAAGCAAGTGGATAAACACTTTATGTAAATGGGTTACCTTAATATGACCGATATTATCAATTCTAGCAACAGAAACAGTAACTTGAACGAGGAATATGAACACGGAGGGTTACAGGACGAGTGGAGAGACCGTCTAGTAAAATAGAGTGAACATTTTGAACAACAATATATTTTTTGTCTGTTTAAATTTTGTCGATTGCGACACTATGGACAAGAAACGTAATGTTGCTTTAAACATTTATTCAGAGACCCAGACTTTTAAAGACAGAGACTAAGAATCGTTTCAGCAGTCGTGATGTACTTGAACAAAAGAAATGTCATCATTTAGATACGATGAATCACGTATGCCTCTCAGATGGTTTTAATAATTTATTCATGTATGTTACCTGTGTGTGAAGGCGTGCTTGCACTATTGACGTTGTCTATTTTATGGAGCCCGTTTCAACCCGATACTGCCAGCAAATAGTTTATCCATGAATCTTTCATGAATATTCATCTTATTTTCATCTGCATTAAATGCTCACTGTATGAACAAATCATATCCACAGTGCTAGAAACAATCACGAAGTCTTGTGATAATGTTACGCCGTTATGCTGATATTTGTCAATAGACACATTGCTATAGGTAGTCTGTTTCAAATTAAAACGTGAAAATCTTAAAATCAATCAAACAAACGTCTAATGCAGTTCTGTCGGTTTATATTGTTTCAACGGCAATAGACAAAATACACAGGGAAATCGAAACTTTTCAGTTCTTTCAGCTGAATATATACAGATTAAACGGGTATTTTGTGTCCTTTTCTAACAATTACGAACGCAACTAGCTTACATAATATGAAATCCGTACACAAGGTTATTCAAATAAAAATGACGTACGTCACACTTATATAGGGAACGTAAGCATTTAGCAACTGGTTTGTTCCCCATACCACAGCTTAGATCATGCAAGTCAGATTAATGTTTTCCACCACTAGGTGGCGGTATGATAGCTGGTGGGGACATGTCCGGGATGATGTCGGCTTTAAGTTTAGCTTCCTCTTCCCAAAGTTCTTTCACTTCCGGTCAAACGCACAAAGAGTGTGCAGCCACAACGTTGTGTATATCCATGTGCTCTGGATCATACAATCTGGGACCGAAAGGTTCAGATGGGTGTCAGCCCTGTACGTGTCATACCGGTAAGTTGATCATTACATACAGGTTTAAATTGCACAACCAGCGCGATACATATGCATTACATTTCTATTAAGTAAACGCCAATATAGAAGATATAGAAGTTGTGTCCTCTGTTTTGGGAAACAAAAGCGACCAAAATGATGTTTTGGTAATATCTGAAATCGTTATATTTCTCATTCCTTACATATTTTCCCGTTTCCTAACGCTTACATGTCAAGACCTCACATAGCGTTGACGCTAATCGTCCCAAGGTTTCGAGTTATGACCCCTAACTGAAACAAACTAAGGCCTGGATTTGTACCTACATCTCTTGATGTTAAACTTTGAAAAGGGAGCAGTAAGTACTAACCGATTACTCGTTGCTATAGTGACAAGATTACGACATTTTAGTGAGATTGCACTTTTAACGTGGCCTTTAGGTGACCGTAGTTGAATAACCCCAAAGCAGCCAAACCGTCACCTTCATCAAACGAAAAGGGCTTTAAAGACTTTATCATTCTAGTCATCGTCCCATAACACATAAACATTTCACTGATTGGGATGTATGAACACGTATACAATATACTATATAAATTAACATTAAGAAACGCATCGAAATGCGGTAAATTAATGAAATCCTAAAATTGAAAGATTTGTTTTCTTATTACTTCATTGTTGATTAATAACCAATGTGTAGCCACTGCTTGACTATTTTATATAAACCTGACAATGATACGGGATCCATATGGAGCAGACGCAGGGATGATTAACAAGTATAATCTATCAATAATACGCACGAAACAATTGCTAATTAAAAGGGATTATGTTGTATTTGGAGCAAAGGGACGTTTTACCTTGTAGTTAGCCATAAAAGTAACAATTCGGCACTATTTACCGTTTCATTTTTACAACATCCATGCATTCTGTTGGATCATCTGGATCTGCAGGTGGTCTATCTTCGTCATTGTCGTCGTCGTCATCCTTCTCTTCCTCGTCTTCTGGAGGTTATTATGGAAGCGGAAGTGGTGGAGGCGGCGGAAGTGGAAGTATCTCAGGAGGTACTTCCGGTACCGGAACGTTCACCCCTGTTTCAGGAGGGTCAAATTTTGTTTATCAACCGGTCACATCAACAGGTATGTCATATCATGTATACAATACAACGCATGCGTTTATTCTTATAAAGGGGATTGTGCGGATTTATAGATGCCTTCCTAATCCAGTGTATTCTTATATTATTAGGAGAAAGTTCTCATTATCTGCAGTGAATTGTTCGTGCTATAGCGTATTAAAGTTCGAAACTTTTAGCATATTATCATACGGAACATTATCGCTTGTGTTAAATGGACTCTAATGTTGTGTCACATGATCCGAGTTTTGGTCAAGTTAAAATTGCTTGAAATGAGACAGTACATAGCGCTGCTGAAGCATTTCACAACATGCAACCTGAAGCTATTAAACTGCCCTAATATGATTTAAAAGTAAACTTTTTGTTTTTAAATTGTTGTATAAATATTTTTGCATCTTTTGATTTTTTCGATATTTTAGTTATCTATTTTAGATATATTCCTTTTCCTAACGTCCTCTATCTCACAACATATATAACAACATAGTATTTGTATTATTTACGCTGATTATATTCCTGTGGTCATCAAACAAGATTAACTGGTCAAAGGCCACTGGAATAGCGATGGAGGGAGGGGTATATCTACATGTATATGGGCCTGCGCTCTCATTATACTTAATTTGAAAAAAGAACTACAAACGTCGTAGCCACGTGAACGTTAAAGATATGATTTATTAATTTCTAAAACATATGTACGATGTCCGACATAATTCACAGTTCAGCGGCCTCATCCTCAGGTGGTACACACACAACAACAGGTAGTATTTGAGGTTGTGTGCTCGTCCTATATGACATGCGCCTCCACGTGCTCCGTGGGTTACACTTGCGGCAGTGACGGATGCCCGACGTGTGACTGTATTCACCCCTCCGGTAAGTCGAGGCCTGAAATATCCTTAGATACTAGACGACAATCTGAACAGAGGAAATACTTATATGTTTTTTTGTTTTTTTTAATCAATGCTCGTCCAGTCAATCAGGCCTTTGCAGAGAAACATGACGGATATGTTTCATTGCAATAAAAACGACAAATCTTCCATTAGTTATTTTAAAATTCAAATAATTTAAAATTTGATAATAAAAATAAAAAAAATTGTCAAAGCACAAATCATGTTTATATTTTTTGGTGGGTTAGAAATTCAGCCTAGGCGAGCAAATGTATGTCAAAGTTATTTCCCATATAATTTTCTCTTTCTTTCTCAGAATTCATGGTATTGAAAATCATATTTTGTCAAAACAAATTTAAATCAAAGTTTTTGCATCTAAATTTACAAAGTATAAAAATAGTATTTGAATCTTTGCAAGTTTGTGCACATAAAAGGTCTTTTGATTTCTTTATTAAGATAATTGACAATATATATATGTCTAAGATTTGTAATCAATCTAAATTTAGTTTCCTTTTATTAAAATCACTGTTAAACGGGTTCTAGCTGGTTTCGAAATAAACAATTTCACCTGAAAGAATACAAAAGTTAATAGAAACATTTTTATTTTGAGTTGTTGGCATAGCAACTCAGCAGGTGACGATACAGCGCCCTCTGTACTGCGAAGCTACGTTTTATTGCCAAAGTCATTGTTCGACGGGATATCAATGTGGGCAAGATGGTTGTCCGACATGTCACTGTCTCCATCCTGTACATCAAAGTAAGCCAATCAGATAATATCTTTCTCTACATAGAACCAATCAGAATCTAACTCTCAATGAATGAGCGATAATTTTTCGAATGAATCCATTGGTATTTACCACACATTTGAAGATTGCGAGACTTTGGTAAAATATGTTGAAGTGTCACGAACAGTGGCATTAACTGACGCAAACATTAAACGAATAGACTACTTGAACATACAGTGAATAAATAGTTCTGCTTTATAAGCTATTCAAGTCGAGCCAGTACCGGAAGTGCCTCACCAGGAGACGATCTTCATCACCGGAAACACGGGAACGGAATGTCACGAATGTGTACAACAGCCCGCGCCGGTATATATAACGGAGCCTGCCACGGAGTGTCAATACAACTGTGGAGAATTACCCCAATACGTCATAGAGGTTAGTCAAGCGTGGGAATAATATTGTTATAAAATATGAATTGTTACATATAAATAAATTTTCTCCGGTGATATATATAGTGAAATCAATTTAATTTCCATAGATATGCTTCGTTATCCCTGATACACACTACAATGACACATTCTAAGTATTCCTTTGTCAATATGGCATTGACAATAAACCAACATAACCAAATTACCACTCGTTTGAACGGATAGATCACAAGACGTCAGGCTGACTGCATACATGTACTGTCCCATAATGCAATTCGTGCCGTATCCGTTAATTACATTTGTACTGTTACATATATCATACTTAATGCTGATTACCCGTTTTAACTGAGGTACGTTTAAAACTATCCTAATCCTTATGTAGCATTTTGTGTTTCAACTCGGTTCAGTTAAAAAAATCCTTTTGTAATTTCTTCTCAATAACAGAGACCGAAACCGCAGCCACACTATCAGACCGTAGTAGTACAACAACCGGAAGTATGTCACAATTGCGAAACTGCACAGTCCGTTTCTTTACCACAATATGTTTACCTTAGACCAGAAACACAACATGTAATTACCAAACCGCAGGAAGTGTGTCACGAATGCGAAACTAACAACTATCAACCGGTCTATGTTGGCAAGCCTCAACATCAGACAGTTGTTGTACATCAACCGGAAGTATGTCACGAATGCGAAACTAACAACTATCAACCGGTCTATGTTGCCAAGCCTCAACCTCAGACAGTTGTTGTACATCAACCAGAAGTATGTCACGAATGCGAAACTAACAATTATAAGCCAGTGTATATTGCAAAACCACAACCACAGACTAAACCAATATATGTACAAAGACCGATCTATACACAGACAGTGGCAGCCAAGCCTAAACCAGTGTACGTTACCCAAGGGCGTCCACAGATAGTCACAAACACAGGTTTGTCTTATATCATATTTTCACAAAGTGAAAGCTGGTACATTATTCTTGCATTTTTAAGAGTCTGTATAAAACATGAAATGTCGGAGTTACGGAAAGGATATCAAATATATTTTACGTTTAACATTTTAAATGAAATGTATGTACATGTAACTTAACAAGCTTCGAATTAATGCTTCTGTCTTAGTACATCAATTGAGAAAACAAATGTGGTAATAGGACTTGTGTAAACCATTGAGAATTACGGATGTTTTGGCGATTTAACATGCTAAGAAACGTAGAAACATGATCCTTAATCTATATCATTAATTGAGACATGGAAAAACGCATAAAAAACGTTTTATTCCATTTACATAATTTGTGTTTTCCTGGAAACAGGCCATTCAAGCGGAGGCATTATGTTGGGAGTTTTAACAAGCGGTAGTTCTTCCGGCGGAGGTGGCGGAGGGAGTTACAGTGGCGGAAATGGAGGCGGAGGGATACACACGGGTATCGCCAGTAATGGTGTAGGGGGCGGGGCTGGTGGAGGAGGCTATTCCTCCAGCGGCAGCAGTGGAGGGATGGCGGAAGGTACATTTAGATGCTATTTTAAAAAAAAACATGTTTTGACAGTCTACAAGATATTTGCCAAAGTTATATTCTGATATGAACGTTAGAGCGGATCAGATTGATTACATTAACTTGGACATGATCTTTACATATACATTGTATATACTTGTTGGTGTTAAGAAAACATGCTGGATTTTGTTGTATAATTGTATATAAAAAACATAGATTTCCTTTTAAATATGTCCCCCTAGTCGCTGCACATTTCCTCAGAGTCCCATGTGTATAGTGTAGATATAGTTTCTGTCTTTTTTCCTTTCCTTTTGTCCTTTCTATTTCCTTTCCTTTCTTCCTCTCTTTTATTTCTCCTATTCCACACCTTTAAGATTTGATTCAGCGTTCGTTTTTGTCGACCATTTGTTGGCCCTAATAACCTATGCTGTGTTGATGGGCCGTTAAGCATTAATGATAATAATAGTAATAATAATATGATTTTGAATATGTTGTTCAATTTAAGTGCCATTATGAAAAGGTCAATGATTCAACTCAATGTCGATTACATGTATATAATTCAATACCGTACGAAGAATACAAAGACGACTTACCCAAATAAAAAAGCTGCGATACACAAATTGCTTATGTAGCCAGTGTATACATACATATAAGCAATCCTATAGAATAGTACCGTCCATCGTCGTTTAAATAATGGATAATTTCATCTTTGTGTCAACTTACTATTGCTTCAGGTTCGTGCCCGCCGATACCTCATGATTGTGATCCCTCCTGTATTAAATATGACGTACCCCACTGTCGTCGCTGTCTATGTGAGAACTGTACGTATCAACAGTGAAACATACAAACGTGTTATTTAGTATGTATTTATATCATGTTTCCCGCTGTCGTTGCTGTCTTTGTGAGCGCTGTAAGAATCCATATTGAAACAGAGGGACATTTAATTAAGTATATATTTAAGTATGCAACCCACTGTTACCAATGTCTGGTTGAAAGCTATATGCATCCACGTTGTAACATAGAAACATATCATTTAATATATTTAAATAGTGTACCCCACTGTCACCACTGTCTGTGAGAACCGTACGTATCCATATTTTAAAAAATAAGAGACATTTTATTAAGTATGTATTTGTATGATATATCCCAATGTCACCAATATTTCGCTGGGATATTTCAATATAAAACATATGGACATCCAATTTTGTCTATAATTTACGTTTCATGTTGTGAAGTATTAAATGTTACAATTTCACGTTCTCTTTATTTCGCCAGCGAAGCTAACTGCTATATATTCACGAGGCTGAATACAATATTCGTCACATCATATTCTTATCATATCAGATTGCGACTGCTTCAAGCATCCAGACATGTCCGTCAAACGTCACATAACTAACAATCCTCGTTTGCCTGTTTCCGGTTTAACGTTACTGTAACAGCGGGCAGTATGTCTTGTTTCTTGTAATTTGACTTAGACGTACTTAAGTGTAATTTTATCTCATTTATTTTTCAGCTCTCCCCCAGTATGGTGGTTCCCGGTATCATGGCTAGACGTACGATTGGGCACACTAGATACGAGTAAAGCAAGTTTGTTTTTATATAAAAGAGTGTTTGTGTTATTTGTATTTAAAACAGTGGAACTTCCATAATGCTGATTCCAATAATGGTAAATGGTTTGAACAAACAGTGAGGTTGTCCATTTAGATGTCGATAATAAATCATGTGTATCTACACATCATTTTCAACACTGCAGACTACAAACATTAAAGGCTATAATGGTTTTTCCCCGTATCAAAACCCAATACACACACTTCCATACGGGCCAAGCGTTATTGTTAAGTTTATTTATCTATACATGTAAATGAATACTAAAATCAAATAATAATCAAAGTACTGAAAGTACTGAAAGCTAAGGCAAAAGTTATACTAAGATATATATATTATTTTTGGAAAGGGGAACAAAATAAAGACGATTTAAGTTCCCATCATATTGAACAGAAGGATTAACTGTTAATTTTGTTATAAATCATAGTTTTATGTAAAAGTTTACCACTGTGAAGTTATTCTTCTTATGTGTACAGTATATCTGTATATGCTTGTCAGAAGAGGGGTACCAAGTGTTCTCTAGAATGTATTATTTTAGACCTTTTAGATACTTCATTTGCATAGGAGTTGCTTCCCTCTGTCCATATTTCAAACGTTAAAAAGTGAAATTGGCAATTTTAAACCAATAAATAGATTATGCACAGATTGTGTTCATCATTGAACTTTGCCTTTGTTGTTGAATAAGATATCAACCAAGTTTCATCAGAATCTGGCCTTATCTGACAAAGTTAATTGGCAAAAACCATTGACCAATCAGAGCACAGTATGCTAATTAATTATACATGGCTTTCACTCAACTTTGAACTTATCATCGAAGTTTGTAAATTGATCACTAATATTCAAGCAAATTATCTTGTAAAGTGTAGACATTGACCAGGGTATGCATGCTTTTTAATACGTGTGAATTGTGTTCAAGTTTCAAATTTGTATCAGTCTGTGTATATTGTTTATACACAAACCCAAGTTTCATTAAAACTGAACAATATTTAAGGATATTAACTTTGCTGAAACCAAATTGTGGACAGACTAGTGGATGACTGCTTTCCATACAATGTACCTTTACAAGTCTGTCAATTTTTTTGAAAAGCTTTTAAAAACAGTGTTTCACATATTCACTGCAGTGAAAAGGTCTCTTCTTATGAAAAATGGAACTATTTTGCATTAGTGTTCCTAGGAACAAATAAGATAAAAAGCACTCTAATACAATATAATACATTGTCGTATGTTTCAATATTGAATAAGATAACCAAAATATAATAGAGTTACACTATTTTTTCCCTCTATTTCCATTGCATAAATTCTTCGCAAAAAGAAATGTAAAGCATATGTTCAGCTTTATCGTTGTCGTCATAGGCTAGCATTTGAAATAAGATGCAAATATCAATTTCAAATATATTTTAAAAGAGTACTGCAAATGTACCATCTAGAGCACATACTATGTTATTACAGTTGTCATTATTGTTGGTTTTGATACCATTGTGCAACAAATGTTGACAAAAGTTGAGGTTGCATTTGTATTTGTTTGAAGTTCATGATTTGATGTTCAGAATGATGGAGCAAGTTTTAAACATTTTGTTTGAATACTTAGTTAGGACTGCACTGACATTTACCCTGTCACATGCACAGGTTGTGTAGCTGTAGCCTTCACCTTGAATGTATGAACTTGACCTTAAAACTGTCTTCACCAATTGATGTATGAAATTTAGAAATGACCTTTCAAGAAATATAGTTGAAAACTTAAGGAACAATTGCTTTCGTTGACATAGCCAAGATTACATCTTGTGTGGGATTCCTCTCATATATCACACAAGATTTGATATCAAAAGTTGGACACGGTAAAATCGAGTGAAATTAACAAATATCAAGTTACACGTTATAACTTTATTTTATTTTATTGATATTGAGCATAAACATTGATAAAAGTACAATTTATACCAGGGATGTTACATTTCTTTTACTGCTTAACATTTGCGTTGACTTTTTATTCACTAGACAAAAACTAGTAGGAACCCATGACCAGTATTTCTATCTTTTAAAAAGATATTTTCAATGTTTTTCAAATTTGCTCGCAGCACCCATTCTAACATTAGTGCCTTTAGCCTGTAGGGGCTGTTCAATCACATCCATTAGGCTTTCAGCATCAATAATCACAGATTCAATCTGTTCCACTCCCAAGTAAAGATCACCGACTTCTCCATTTTGCAAGGAAAGTATTTGAACTATTTAGTCAGAGTTTTCTCCTATATACGGTAACTGATAGACTTTAAAATGTCATGTCACTGTTGGTACAGTTCTTGCAGCCATTTGAAAAAGCTCATGAAGTCCTCAAAGGTATGATAGAAGGGGTTCAGTTCCTATTTCTCATCCTCCTTCCTCCCATCAATAACCATCCATGTCTGTTGTAATGTTGATTGCTTTCCCCTAAAATAGAATATAGTCACCAAATACTTTCTGCACCAGCAATAATAATGTATAGAGACAATATTCAAACGAAATAGGAGGCATAGCAGTATGATGAGCGTGTACAGTGAGAAATAAGGCATTACAGCTTCGGAATTCATTAATATGGTTCACAAACATTTCAGTACATGTAAGTCAATCTCTTTGGTAGCAGAACTAAATATAAACAAAATGTACATAAAAGTCAACTTATAACACCACATCTCATGGGGGCTTAAGACACCTTAACTGGTTTTTTAGATAGTAAAACATGTGTACATAAAAAAGGTACAAGTAAAAACAAAACAAAATTATCTTTCTTTTTATATATTAGCCATCGAATTGAAAAGCCTGATACAGTTGAAACAGTACTCTTGTGGAAAAAGAAGGAAACATTTTCTTGAACCACAGTAAAAAAGAGGACAGTTTAAACACACGCACCTAGATATTCACGGTTTTCATTAATACAAAAGATGAAGCAGTACATCACTCTCCCCTTGTTGTTTCCAGAAAAAATAAATTGGGAAACATGGAGATGTCCATTGCACTCCTTTGTTTTGCTTACAGTGTGCAAATGTGCCTACTATGAGCTGATAAGCTTTCCATGTGATGGTTTTGTTTTTTTATGTGCTGTACCCAAATGTGTTTAATGTGCTTAAATTATCAAGTGCTGATGTACTTACCGTGTGCAATGTGCCTATTATGTGCAAAATGCATGTTTATTTTTATTTTGTTCATGTTTTGTTCAAATACAAGCTCTTTGTAGCTTATTGAAAAATTGACATAAAATAAATATTGCTGTATCTTATAAGTGCTTAAGGATTTTAACCGTAGTTTTTGGGACTATATAGAAAAACTTTTCCCCAGTATGAGATTCTTTTACACCTTTTGTCATAAACCAAGTTATGTTCAGATTTCAGACAGAAGATACAAATGTACTTTGAAATTGTACAACTCAGAAAAGGTTAAAAAAATCATTATATTTCCAATTTTTCGGCGAAGAATTATTCTATCTCTCAAGTTATAAATGATTCCTGTGTGACCTAGTATTGATCATTAAATAAGGTCAATTAAAACAAATATTGTGTTTCTGCTAACCCCACAGATACTGGACACTCTAATAGTAATATGATGTGTATAAACTATCACACATTACTTATTGGTGTGTCTGGCACCTGTGGCTAACCTGACCTATCCTATATGTGTGTGCCTACAATACCATTAAGTTTGTATAATAATGCACTGTGAAAGTCAGAACTCCTGCTCCATATAAGCACAGTGAAGATTTTTTTCAAATTAAAAAAAAAAAAAGAAGCTTGTGCTAATATTTACCTATCTATTTTTTTCTGCGGATGATAGTAGAAACACATAGTAGTTGTTTTGGCCTTATTTTGTCTGTCATTTCAAAATATTTAGAACTACTCTACTTTTTTTAAGTTCAAAAACATCAAGTAGTATAACAATTGAAACTGAAATGACAGCCAACATAACAATGAATCTAATAATACAATGTTTATAACATGTTTCTTTTTCAACTGAATCAGAAAAAAATTAAGGCCAAATATCCTCACAATCAATGTGAAATCAGTCGGGAGCACCTTGTGACGCTGTTATTCACTAGTGTAAAAAGTCCATTCATTTGTTTGTTTTTGCATAATCACTGCTATACATACCGTTGAAACACCTTCCTTTTTGTCATCGCCGCTGACAACATGCGTCACGCTTGGCCACAAATCACCGAAATCGGGATCCAGATCCTTATTTATGAATCAGTTGTATGTAAACGTTGCCGAAATGTATGCATATTGTTTAATGTCAATGCTGCTTAAACAATCTGCCTTATATAAAGACAAAACTCGCCTGCATTTTCGTCTT